GAAAGAAAAACAAAAGGCAAAAAGATTCATACATATCCAAATATATATTGGTAGGTCTATTATAGGCTACTACAAACGTCTGGTTATTTGTTAATTAATTATCATAATTAATTAATTAACTTGTTTGGGGAGAGAAGGGACGAGAGCACAAGTGAAAAGTCCTCGACAAAAAGGTAAGGCAAAGGAAGTCAATAGAAAGATTTATTTATACTAAGATTAAGGTAGGTTCATTATATGCTAATCACACATCTGGTTATTTAATAAATTGATTGTTTTATAATTAATTAATTGATTGATTGATTTTTTTTTTTGGCGGGGGGGTGGAGGTGAGGAGGGACAAAAGCACAGGTGAAAAGTCCACTAAAAAAAGGTAAGGCAAAGGGAGCCAACAGAAAGATTTATATTTACCAAGATCAAGGTAGGTTTATGAAAAGGCTAATCAAACGTCTTGATAAACAATAAATTAAGTAAATAAAAAAATAAATAATTTGATTTGTTGTGCGAATGACAGGGTTTCAACGTGTGGTCCTCCCATTTTTTTTCAAAAAAAAAAAGCTTTACTTATAAAACAAGGAAAGGTTTGCGTTGAATTTCCCCCCCCCCCCCAAAAAAAAAAAAAAAAATGGAGAGATCCTTTATCGACACCTAAATGAAAATGAAAGCCATATTCAGAAGTCTCAACATCGGCTTATGCATGTTGCATGCTTATGCATATGGCGAGTCCCATGAGCGAATTCCTTTAATTTATAACAGGTGACGTTTTTCATTGACGCTGTAGTACGCAGTTTGGCTTTTGTCTCAATCAACCAATGAAACACCCCTTCCAGGGCTGGGTTGGACGACGCCCGATGGAGACATAATGTACCGTGGATATATGACGCCTGATGGAGACACAATGTACCGCGGATAAAAGTATTTATTATATCCATTTTGAAATCACTGGTGATCCCTGGAATCTGATTGGATCTCACACTATTTTCTCCTCTAAATCACATCTTTTATAAATCGCGTCATTCATGTTCCAAATCGCATCATTTCTGTCTATAAATCACACCATTTTTACTCTATATCGCACCATTTCTGTTTCAAATACAAAATGAGATGTAATCCTTTTTTGATTTCATAACGATGTAAAAGATGTAAAAAGCTTTTTTGCTTCCGCTTTTCAACGAACCGGTTGAAATATTGGTCGAATATTGGTTCTGACTGAATATGGCTGTAATAAAGTGGTAACTTAACTTCGTGTCATGCAATTTTGATCTCAAATCAGACTTGTGATTTCAAGTAGAACTCGCACTACTCGCTCGTCCGATTTTGAAATCACGCGTATGATTTCAGACCAAATGCATTCCACTGACCTCTCCACTTAGTTCAATTACCATTATAGATCTGACAATAGGAGGCCTTTTGTATAGGCTATTTGAAGGAAATATCTCCATGCAATCGAAATTTCGTAAGGCCGATATTCAGTCTTTCAAAAAATGAAATTTAGTGTTATTTTCTTCTCCAATTTCGACTTCAAGAAGATGAAGATAAGGAGTCAATCTCTTAAGGTATCTTTGAGTGTCTCAAATTACAATCAATTTCTTAATGAAATCTGAACTATGTTTAGAGTGATAAAAATAGAATGCTTAAAACACAGAGCGGCGACATATTGTTTTCTAGAATGGCCACAACTCTGGATTTTGACCCCAAACAAATCATTCCGCTCACGAACTGTATACTGGAGTGAAACACAGTACAATTTGTAAGGAATTTAACTTTTCACTTAACAAGTGAAGTCATATAATGAATTGAACAATGTTCTTGTGTTTACTTTAAAACGTCATTCCGTAGCAAAACGCAAAAAAGGTAAAAAATGGCGGAAAATGTTTGTCGTCGTTTTCGAAACCAAAAGTTATTAACTTCCGCAAAACTGATTAATATTCTTTGTATTGTTTAAGGCGAATTATCCTTATTACGTCCCGAAGTATAATATTGCGCTCTTGCAGTTCTACTTCCAGGTGTAATATGAATTTATATCAAGAAGAAAAAAATAGTGAAAATTATTTGCTATTATTGCGCATCTTTTCATCATTTCAAGACTGAATAACTGAGGGACGGCTGGCTACCTTTATCATCTGGTTTGATCTTTGTACCATTGTTTGCTTGCGCAATTTTGATCGTGACAAATTAGCATGAGTTTGTGTTTACTACGTGGACAGTCATAATACAGTTCCTCGCACGCAATATTAACATAAATTTAACGGAAAACAAGGGATCAATGCCAGACTACCATGCCCACCCGACTAACAGTGTTGTATTGTGAGAATTAAGAGTTTCTGCCAATCTATTTGAGTTGTAATTTATCTCTGGATTTATAGATCAATAATCGATCTTTATTAGCGCTTGAATTGACAATGAAAGCTACAGGCTAATGTGGAACCCCACACGCGGGGTCGTTGACCCGTGTAACCCTCCCTTGTAGACTGACTGCTAATGGATTCATTAATATAGAAATCATTGTTCAAAAATATTTACCTGTTCTGAGGAGATGAGTTCAACAGTTCAAGCATTCTCAATACACTCTTTTCATTTTATAAGAATATCTTTTACAAGAATATTGAGGCTGAAATTTGCGAAATTTCAAGAATATCTTAAGAATAAATCCAAGGCTGAGATTTTGAAAAGACCTTGCGACTTTTAAAGACTATCAGTGTTGCTTGTTTGGACTTCAAGTCACTTGTTTAGTAGTTTTTCAAGGCTGAAGTGTTCTATTTCAGCCTTTGTTTTCCATGCTGGAAAGGTTGTTATCGTATAGTAGATAAGCTACATCACTTTTTTTTTCTTAGATTGTGGTTTTTCGGAAAAGGGAATGACTTAAAAAGATACAAAGAATCAAAGACAAGCGATACATTCTTTAGAGCCTTTGCTTTTACTTTAAGTTGCTGCAATTCACATGTTTAACTAATAACTTATTTTTCGTTCTTCTATAGAAATCATTACCCAAATAAAAGCATTTCACAACTAAGTTAAACTATTTACACCTTAGAATGCCATTAAATACGCCATACATAGTATGACTTGCATCATTTTCTCATACGAAAAAACAAAATACAGTTGGGCTAGCGAAAATATACAATATAATATATTACAAAACATCTAGGAAAAAATATATATTATCATCTAAAGATCAAAAAAGAAAGTACTCCTTTATGGCCGTCGGTAACTTATCTTGGATGACCCCTGAAAGAAAAACAAAAAAGCTAAAGGCAAAAAGATTTAACACATATCCACATCATTGTAGGTTTATTCAAGGCTTCTTCAAACGTCTGGTTATTTGATAAATTGATTAATTAATTATCATAATCAATTACATAATTGGTTTGAGGAGAGAAAAAGTCCTCTAAAGAAAGGTAAGGCAAAGGGAGTCAATAGAAAGATTTATTTATATCAAGATTAGGGTAGGTTCTTTATATGCTAAATCACACGTCTGGTTATTCAATAAATTAATAAATAAATTAATTAATTAATTTATACTACTACATGAGAAATTTCTGCAATTTGATTGGCTCAGAGCAGTGGTATTTCAGCTTAATTGAAATACCTACATGTGAAAATTACAAACCGTTTGTGGGTAGTAGTATAAACAAATAATAGCATGATTTGTTGGTAATATTTTGCATATTAAATACCACGAGTGATATTTCAAAATTGTCTCAAATTTATATAACAATTTCGAAATATCACTCGTGGTGTTTATGCCAAATATCACTACTAATCATGCTATTACCTATACTAATTTGTTGAGGGAGAGGAGGGACGAAAGCACAAGTGAAAAGTTCTCTAAAGAAAAGTAAGGCAAAGAGAGTCAATAGAAAGATTTATTTATATCTGTTCAAGATTACGGTAGGTTTATTTGCTAATTAAATCACACGTCTGGTTATTTAATAAATCGATTATTTTATAATTATAATTATTATTCATTCAAAATATTTTCCCGATTCTGATTGGCTAAAAGTACACGTTTAATTCACCATAACCAGTTACTGATGACCAAATTTGGAAGAATTTTGTGTTTAACAAGACGCCTAAAGTCGTTTCCGTGGGATGCGTTGGTCTATGGAAGCATAATGGCGTTCTATCTGCATTTGGAAAAATTAGGAAACTGGAAAGATGTTTCATGTTATGAGCATCGATGAGTAGGTTACCTGTATGGGTTGGTTTAATGTGCTTATGACTGAATTTATAGTAGCCTGCGTGGCAGGCTACTATTTTCCCCCAATCCACATCCCCTTTTTGCTTCCTCACTATCCCCTACCCCTTTCGACAGTGGTCGCAAGGATGGAGTTGATCTTGTTTTGATCCATCGCTATGTAGTTATTTTCGTAGCACGATTTGGATAAGAAAAAGAAGTTATTTTGCATCAAAACAAGGTTTACCCGTGTAACTNTCTAAAGAAAAGGAAGGCAAAGGGAGTCAATAGAAAGATTTATTTATACCAAGATTAGGGTAGGTTCTTTATAATGCTAAATCACACGTCTGGTTATTCAAAAAAATTAATAAATGAATGAATGAATGAATGAATTTTTTTTGTTGGGGGAGAGGAGAGACGAAAGCACAAGTGAAAAGTCCTCTAAAAAAAAGGAAGGCAAAGGGAGTCAACAGAAAGATTTATTTATACCAAGATTAGGGTAGGTTCTTTATAATGCTAAATCACACGTCTGGTTATTCAATTAATTAATTAATTAATTAATTAATCAGTTAATTAATTTGTTGGGGGAGAGGAGGGACGAAAGCACAAGTGAAAAGTCCTTTAAAGAAAAGTAAGGCAAAGGGAGTCAATATACTAAGATTAGGGTAGGTCTATTAAATGCTAATTAAATCACACGTCTGGTTATTTCATAAATTGATTAATTTATAATTGTAATTAATTTGTTGGGGGAAGAGAGGGGTGAGGGCAAAAGGAAATGTCCTCAGCAACTTGGCTTCAGTTTTAGTTGGTGCCTACAAATCCTATACTAATGGAATTGAATGACAGTTACCTCCGAGTTTCGTTTCCTTTTCCAGCAGTCTGGATTAACTCTTTTGTGTTCATCTGCCAAGAGCTTTGCTTGTATCACATATTCTTTGCGATCTTCTTGCTTCATGGCTTTCCACTTGTCACCAAGGATCACACTAATTGCTCTGATAAAAGAGTTTACACTTCAGGTTTTTACACAATGTCAATGTGGCATTCCCAACTGTTTCAGCCACCCCCCAAATCCTCGCGAAACTGCTCCCAGTACACCAACTACGATTGGGATGACTTAAACTGATCGACAACTACAAATTCGTTTGATCTCGTATTTCAAGTCAAAGTAAACGGTGTTTCGCCAGGAGGTCTTTCCAGTTCTCCAGTTACCCAAAATGTAAACAAATTTCGGAAAACTTTACTATCAGTCGGATTGCTCACTAGAGCAATAATAATAATAATGATAATAATAACAGTAGGATGTGATATTTTTTTATGTTAGAGAGACCTTGGGATTTGCGCCCACTAAATTTCTTACCTGTTGTCTTTTCCAGGATGGGCTTGAGTGATTTCCACTCGAAAGCGCTTGGCAAATAGCATGAAGGCATTCATAGGTCTCTTAGAGAACTGTTGCATGCTGCTTCTTTTCATCATGCTTCCGGGACATCGTGACTCAGAGAGAAGCTTGCTTCGGCGATGTCTGTGCTCTTGTTTATCCTTTTATATTTGAAATAAATTTAAAACCTAACATTGGTACCAAAATTGTCTCAAATGCTGTAGTCACGAGGTGTCAGGTTGAAGAAAGGGTACTGTAGAGAACCTTAAGGATAAAACTTGGCATAAAATGTCATGAAAGATATTTTGCGTTCCCTGAGAACACAAAGAAATAAACTTATCACGTACATGTATTCGCTAAATGCGGGTGTATTATGGCCCTTGCGTTAACCCTCACCAAAACTTAAGAGACTTACATACCTTGGCCATGCAGCTCAGCGTCAGTGCAGCGGTTGACATCGCGGNTGACTCAGAGAGAAGCTTGCTTCGGCGATGTCTGTGCTCTTGTTTATCCTTTTATATTTGAAATAAATTTAAAACCTAACATTGGTACCAAAATTGTCTCAAATGCTGTAGTCACGAGGTGTCAGGTTGAAGAAAGGGTACTGTAGAGAACCTTAAGGATAAAACTTGGCATAAAATGTCATGAAAGATATTTTGCGTTCCCTGAGAACACAAAGAAATAAACTTATCACGTACATGTATTCGCTAAATGCGGGTGTATTATGGCCCTTGCGTTAACCCTCACCAAAACTTAAGAGACTTACATACCTTGGCCATGCAGCTCAGCGTCAGTGCAGCGGTTGACATCGCGGTGAACTCAGACCTGAAAATAAGTTGTGACTGATCAGTTTCGTGACATCCACCTCGTAAACTTCTCCGTTCAGAAACTGCTATAGGGAGAATGGGTGCAAGCTTTGGGCACAGTGACTTCTAGGATCGTTCGGGTAGACAAGACAAGCGTTAGTTATGATTGGTCGATGGTCTTCAAGGCAACTATTAACCAATCACAAGTAACGCTTGCCCACCCAAATGATCCCAGAAATCGTAGCGCTCTAAGCTTGTACCCATTCCCGCAATAGTTTTTCAAATGGGGAAAACATCCCAAGACAGTGCAAGAACGTTATTCTATACCATACACCACAAAAAAGAGAGGAAATAAGACAATACTGTGAGACATGAGGTACATATGAAAGGGGAATTGCGTTTCCGGTGCCAGTATACTTACGAGGTTTTGTCCGTATCCCACTGAGTCCCACTTAGGAATCCGACAACATCCCGACCATATGGCAACATACAAACATCACCGCATTCAAGCAGCTGGCAGCTTATTCCGTGGTGTAACTCGCTCGAGCAAGGATTGAGTGACGCCCAAAATTCCCCATCTTTTCCTTTGACGTAGAATGGATGGTGAGCAGTTATCTCAGCCTGTAGGCTCGTCTGCTCGTTGTTGCACGATTGGAAAGATACAATAAACTCATCCTGAAAATAAAGCAACTTTGTGATCTTTCTGCAAAATTGACCGCAATGTTAACGTGGTATTGAGACACGTAAAACAATGACCAATTTACGAATAAATTCGAGTTCTTGAAGAAAGAAATACAGGGGCGGATCCAGAAAATTCAGAGAGCGGCGGACGCTTGCCAGCTATATAAGTATTATTTATTCTACTTAGAAGTCTTTAAACATTACAAAAAACTTGACAGAAAATGATAGTGTAGCACTTCAAAATTCACTACTAAAAACACTTCCCACCAGCTTTTTTACGAAATTAAAACTTTTTTTACCATCGGACAAGCAATAAAAAAGTCCAATAAAAAAGGGCAACATACGCTGTTTTCGTCATGTCTTCTGGTAATCCTTTCAATATCGACCACCCGAAGTCCATGTTGGAAGAGATCCTCGGATATTCCCTCCATCCCAATATCATCTACGGTTTTCCAGGTCCATCCGTCTTCATCTGGGAAATTTATCCGGGTCGCGGCCAAAAAGCATCGCCATTTTGCCGCAGACAAAGCTTGCAACAGTGTTTGCGTTGGAGAATCTGGGATGTACTGTGAGACACATGGCCATTCTCTGGGTTGAAAATCCTGGCAAGATGATGGTAAGAAATGAGTAACGGGTTCTGAAGCTGGCTTACTAGAGGATTTACGGTGCCCCTCCGGGGTGCTTGAAGGAGCGATTGGCGAAAGTAGCACTTACGACTTGTAAGACATTTGCTCAATCTTCCCTGGGCAAAGAACCACGTATCCAAGGGAATAGGAGGACAAAATAATTTGGTAGGATTTCATTCAGACTCGGGAAAAAGCTATGATTAAAATGCGGTTCCAAGACCCAACCATCTACCCCCTAGTCATTTTCATCACATTTTATTCAGTTTACAGAAACGTACTTTAGCCCGTATGATCTTTGCGAAAATGGTACTATCGACTAATATAATAGTTATTCACTGTTATTTGAGCATAGTTCCCAGTATCAAAGGGAATGAAAAGCTAGATTACTAAAAATCACTGATTTCCTATTTACTTCCAATAAGCATACTTAAGTTATTCTTTGCGAAAATAAGTCTGTCAATAAATATCAGAGTTGCTCACTCTTTATAAGGAAAACTTCTCAGTATCCAAGAGAAGAAATGTACGACCAAAAATATTCTTCAGAATTCACTGCGTTTGTGCCGAATTTCAACACAGCTACTTAATGCAGACGACATACCATTTGCTTTGGGTTTGTTACCTGAGGATGGGGAATATCGCCATCGCTGCACCTGACATCCATGCTTTCACCGCTGACCTCTTGCACTAATGGGCTCTGAGGACTTGTGGCAATGACAGCAAATTCTTTGAGCAGGTTGACCTCTGGAGACAAGTCTAAAGCCGGAGGGATAGAGCGAGGTTTGTTTTGCATTCCTCTCGGTGTTTCTGCGTAGAAAACAAAAATTCGACACCGTTAAGAAGCTGTTTATATTAATCCCCCTTCTTTGTATCCTCATGATAAACGACTCGAATGCTTAATCCCTTAAGAAATGTCGAACAACACGAAATCAGAGATCCAAGAATGTGTCTATAAATTTGACAGACATACAAATACGTCGACAAAACACCACAATAATGAACGAGTCGAGAACTAAGTAAAAAAGATCAAGATGAACATACGCAGTAACATTTTCTCTCTTTTCTTTCGTTCTATTTTATTATAATAACTTTTTTTTTTCATTTGTCACTGTGTTGCTAAAAACTCTGAGATGGGATTGAGACAAGTTGTGCAAAAAGTGTTGTGTTGTGTAAAAAGTGCCTTTAAGTCTGAAGTAAACAAAGGAATAAAAAAGTAAAGATCTGTGCATGTAGAGACATATCAGGGATTTGCAAACAAATCTTTCTCAATCGTGTTTTTTTAACTGAAAGCCTTGAGTCCTAAGCGGCCAAAGTCATCGAATATAATCCTGGTCGGTCTGCTAGCGAGTACGCGCCAGGAGTAGCGGAGCTCGAGAAAGGTGAAAGTTTTCATCTCAGGGAAATTCTTTTCCTGAAGGGACGTAGGGATCTTCTCACCTATTGTAATTTCGGGAAGCGTACTAATACTTTGTTAGAAAACAGAGGCACTTCTTAATTAATAAATTCACTCCAGCCATTACTTTCGCAAAACTCAGCTTAATGGGTAAAATGGGTGAAATGCTAAAGACCATTATCGCATGATAAGGAGGACAGGGTCACCCCTGCGTCCAGTGACTCAATTAAAAGCTTAATAAACTCTTCTCTACTTGACTTTACATTTACAACATTTGTGAGCTGGAATAATCACACTCAAAGATGGCCTTTAGATGCTTTTAAGTGCCTTTAAGTCAGCTGTCAAAAGACTGAATTATATTAAATGATTCTTTCCGGATAGCAAAGTTCAACAATGGCGAAGCTATTAACGGAGAGGGAGAGAGAGAACAAAACAAACAAACAAAAAAGAAAGAAAGAAGGAAAGACAATAAAAACAAATGACTAACATTCTTTCAGAAACTGACCGTGTCATTGGTAAGTTGTCTCAAGCTTAAATAAGGTTATGAATTTTAAGCTAAAAATCATACTCATGGCGTTCATCTTCTTCTCGGAAGATTGTTGAATTTAGTATTACCAACTGTTTATTGCTTTTCATTGTTTTGTTTTTTTTCTTCCTAATGGGGATTACAGATTGGAAAACAACACCAGCAACAGCCAAAAAAATAGAACCATTAGTTCGAGCTTTTTTGAACGAGTTCCTTTTCAAAGCGAACAAAAACCCAAAAGGCGCGTGACAGATAAATGGGCACTGGATGACAAAAAGAAACATCCCTCACAGCCACCACTAAATTGTCTGGCCCGGGCATATTCATCATCTGTGGGTTAATAAATACGATAAACACCATCTGAATTACCAAAACTCATAAGAAATGAAATAACAGGGAAATTCCCCTTAAAGCTTGGCTAAAGATTAACCACAGCACATCTCAACACTTGGCATGAGACTATCGCTGTAGGGATCCTAAACTTGGCAAGCTCACCAATGGCCTTTGAAAAAAATGTTTGGGGGCCGGTACTTTCGCTTCACGAGTAGATATAGTTTGAACTAGACCTTCCGATCTGATAACCAAAAATAGCCATTTTATCACCTAAAAATATCAAGCGTAGTCCTCGAAGGAGCGCGGAAACATGAGTAATTCCTTTTATTGCACAATTGAGGGCGTGTTGAAAATTTCCTTGAGCTGTTTACATGGCTTACTAACAAAATATTTGGAGGAGAAAGATGAAAATCTTTTTTGTACTTACTGCTCTCAAAGTTGATTGTGACTAGTTTATTACTGAATTTTATAATTGTGATTAAACAATAGAAAAGAAAGCCAACGGACTCGTCGAAATACAATCTGATACAATGATTAAAAAAGAGGCAAAACAAAAGAAAACTAAATAAAACACAGCACAACAAAAAAGCAGCGTTTGATTTATACTAGCGCTGGAGGGACAATTTTGAGACACTTTGCAAATGCTTTTTTTTTTTTTTACTACTATTATTATTTTTTTTTGTTTGGCACTTTGTCTCGCCACTGATAGATCTTTATCAGCTGAAGTCTCGGTCTAGAAGGGAGTGACATCTCTGGTATCTTTTAAATCTAAAGGAGTGAAAACATGTTCAAAAGTATTGTTTGGGAAATTTTAGTCACCAAAAACTGGTCTTCACGAAATTGAAGCGAAACTACCTCATTCGACGGCAAAACGTGAATCTTAAGGAATATGACGGAAAAGCAACAAACCCAAGGCAGAATATCTTGATGATTTATATATCTAGATCTTGATAAACTTATAAGCCACTAAAAATATCACTAGTTAACAATTATAAACTGTATCATAACTTAACTATTATTTTACTGAATTGATGACAAGCGAACTAACCGCAGTTATGAAAGAGACACTGATCAGCTGTCTGCTGTGTGCGATAAGGATCCGCCCTTATCAGGCGGACGAGAAGTCCAACTAGGAACAAGCTGGCGGCAGGTTATACCGTTAGAAAGTAAGCTTGAGAATTGGCAGCTATAAAAAGCTGTACCTGCAGTTTTAGTTTTCTTAGTTTTGATCGAGGCACTTTACGAACTGTAGCTTAGTGTATGCCCTGGGTTTATCAGTGAAACTCAGTGACAATCGCTGGTGTAAGAACACTACCTTTGCTTAGATCAAAGTATAAAAAACCCGGCTTGTTAAGCTTAAAAACAAAGAGCTGCCGAAAATGTTTTTTTGTACCTTCTGCACATTCAGTCTCCATCTTGATTTTCTCATCAATGTGAACCTTATCCAAATGGTATTTCAAACCATTAGAACTCTTGAACGACTTGGGGCAGCTCCTGCACTTGTGGGGTTTGTTGTGTCTTTCCCTTCGAAAAGGCTGCATTTTGGCGGACGCCTATGGATGAAACAGGCCTTTCTTCTAAAACAAAAAGAAAAAAATACGTAGGCAGTAAGTACAATGGACTGTTTTCTTTACAACAGGTCCACAGGAGTCAGCGTGAAGACTAGTTTGAGTTGTTTGTGGGCACGCGATTTTATTGGGGAATGTGTGGAAATGGGGCCTGTTTGAACTGGCCCCCAATTTTTGACCTAAAATTGATTCAACAATTAATTTCTATTTTCTCGTTGTAGTCACGAGTAAATTTCGTGTTCTCCGTCTAACCCATTACCTCCCTGATACAGGGGGCTAAAGTTCGAACAATGCCATAAGAAGGAAATGGTTTGCTGTTTACTGTTGAAAGCACACTTCCGAATTTTAATGACAAACTGACGTTAGAAGTCATGATGATGGCCAGTGGTTAGAATTATTCAGCAGGATAGTGTCACCTAGCCTCAACGTTTTTCACACAGAGTCTAACCAAGTTGTAGATAACGAAATTACACAAAGAAAAAACTATATAAAAAAATAAAAAATAAAAAAACAAAGGTACTGCCCGATGACTTCTATTTGATAAGTCACAGGTTCCATCCATGCTGCCAAAGTGATTCATTGTAAGTGATTAGATAAACAATGTTAAAGACAGTATAGCTCAAGGACTTACAAAATGATGTCACACTCAAGGGTTCTACGCCCAAACTTAATAGCTGGATCTATACCAAGAGAATATCACATGAAATTAGTATTCAAATACTTTTAAAGGAAACACGTAAGCTTAATAAATTTTTGCCCTCCTACTGACACGATTAAGCAGCCTCCCTGTGCAGCAAAGCTAACAGTTGGCACAGGAAACTTACCCGGAATATCTTCCGTTAAAATGGCAACATCTATGCATGGACCTATATGCTACATAGTTTCAATTTCTGCATCTTAAAATGTTATTTAAAAACATATATGAAGGGAATTGTACTGAAATAGATTATTTATGGAGGAAATATTGAAAAACCTACAATAAATTTCAAATAATTTAGTGCTTAAAGTGGAAAAAATTAGAAAGACGCTCTTCATTTCAGTCCAAGAACTTGGTTCACAATGCGAAGTCAAAAACGTCAGAACAGCAACTATCGTTTTCGACAGCAAGATATTTCTCCATTTCAAAATAGAAGATGTGTTTTCTTTAAGTCAAACACGTCAATACATAAAAAAAAGAAGTCGGTAATTTTTTTTTTTTTTTTTGAGTTAAGCTGTTTGAAAGTACGTTGTTCAAACTAGATCCACCATAACTAAACTTATTTATTGAGCTGACAGGCTTTGAAGAGCTAATCAGCTAACATTTCAGCTCTTTACTCAAAGGTCGATGCCACCTGTCGTAACAAAAAAAAGTCTTAGAAAAAAATACTGACGCTTCACTTTTGCTCTGACAGCTCAAATCTTGTCATGCAAGCAAGCCATCTACCAGTTCGATAATGCTTGATGACTACAAATGCCAACTCTGTATGAATGTCACATTAAAGGGCTTCATGCATGTTCAAGCTCAAAATATTAGATAAAACTTGAAACCACAATACAGCATGTTGCAGTTAGAGTGCTGTCAAAGACTTTTTTTTGTTAATTCAGTCAAGTAGGATGCAGAGGATTTAAGTCAAACATATGCACCCACAGGTCACGCAAAGTCTAATGACTTGAAGTTTGCCTAAACGAGTTTTAACAGTTCGTGATTTTTAAAAATGTTTCAGAAGAAGTCTTCATTTTCTGCAAACCGAATAAGTCATTAAAATTTGGTTAGACGTTTAATTGGTAAAAGGTCCTGGTAATTCGCTTTTATTTGGTAGTAATTTCTCTTTGGTAAAATTTTATTTGTTAGATCTTTATAGAAAAAAAGGTCAATGCCTTCGTTTTCGAAAAAAAATTGGGATTTCTAAAACATTTACACATCCTATTCTTGTTTCTGTCAAGGGAAAAGACTGGCAAAGTTAAGCGAATACAAACACACTCCACTTCAGTACAGATTGTAAATGATACTACCTCAAACACATTAAGTTGCGATTTTTTATCATAACTGTCGCAGCCAATGGCTTAAAACCCACCTACAGTGCATTTAATTGTAGCTCGCTATCTCGATCAGTAATACCTTGAGAATATTGACTGCAATCACGTAGATTGTAAGTCGTTCACGTGAATTGCCTCTTTCACGTGACTTGGTTGAGACTACTTTAAAAAATACAGGTTCCCACTAGTGAGACGTTCCACGTTGCACCCAAGATCATAAGATTTTTCTGCTGATATTCAGTTGAGCGAAAACCCCGTAACGTCAATTGAAAGCGTGCAAGGGCCTCTATAAATGTCCATACACGTTCTTTCATTCTCAAATAAAAATTTAGAAGTTTAAAGCTTCCAAATCTGTGTGCCTTCCCTTAGGCCTTAGCAAACTAATTTGACTGACAATACTTTTGACCTCAATCTTTAAAAGCCGCTGTATAAAGTTACTATAGGATAAATTACTACCCTTTACAGTAACAACCCGCAAGTAGGAGCTAGAACTAGCCAGTTAGACCCTCTCCATACAAGACCCTGTTTAGCCTAAAATTTCAGACAGTTTCTGACTTTCTAATGAACTGACAAATTTCAATTGCTGGTTCAGTAAAATTCTAAGAATAAACAGGAGTGTTTAACCAGTATCCAAAAAATATCACAAAAGCTGTTAATATTAAAAATAATCACCGCCATGACTGCGTTTTCCAACTTCAGTCGACGAACCGAAGTCAGTTTCAGTCGTTTTTTAGTATATTACTCAACTGACACACACCCATGTGCGTTTTTTTTTCTTCAAAATCTTAGATATCCAAGGGTCAGACCCAGAAAATACCTCAGCCGCATTTCAGGCACGTAAATGTTCGTCTAATTGCCAAAAATGGTCAAAAATGGCGTCCACCTTGCTTCGAGAAGAACTATGATCACTAACGCAAGAGTTTCTTCAGACTAGCTGAAAAAGTGAACCAGGACATGCGTTCACCACTGTTAGTTTGTCCAGTTAATAAGAAAGTGAAAGCTGTAGATTTAATCGCGTAGCTTATTGTCAAAAAATCCATAAAATAGCTTGGATGGGGAGACCTTTTCCGAGTTCGAGATGGGGAGGATTTTAGAGAGGCCCCTACCGTCACACAGGGAACATCCAAGCAACTTTATTTGAAATTGTTAGCGAAAAGACAGATAGAAATCCTATTAAAATTTCACACCTACAGTTTTAGACGGTGCATGCAAAACCTATTCTTAAAGGGTGATTCGACTGTCAAACAGGTCTGTCACAAACAAACATTTATGGCCATGTATTAAAAACTGCCTGACGGAAGGGCAGCCAATAAGAGGTTTGATGGACAATATCATCCATATGTTATACAGTCAAGTATTTTCTACACCAACACTCTGTATCCGCGGCGTGTATTCCCGATTCAACTAAAGTTAAGACTTGTTTGCGTGAAATTATATTTATATCAATATTTTCAGCCATCTAAAATCCACAGACCAGATGACAGTCAGAAGGGGCATTGCTTAATGTTCTATTCTGAAAATTAAAATATTGACAGGAAGTGCAAAATTACACAAGCTAACTGTGTCCATAGTAGACAAGATTTATTCTATGAACAAACCAATGCTCATAAGTCAAAAAAGGCAATGTCCCTTTAAGTTTCTTGAAATGGTAATTCTCTGCCTCATCGTTTCATCTAAGATCGTTTCATATAACTATGATTAGGCATTTCGAGCAGACAACAATTTCTTANAGTTTTAGACGGTGCATGCAAAACCTATTCTTAAAGGGTGATTCGACTGTCAAACAGGTCTGTCACAAACAAACATTTATGGCCATGTATTAAAAACTGCCTGACGGAAGGGCAGCCAATAAGAGGTTTGATGGACAATATCATCCATATGTTATACAGTCAAGTATTTTCTACACCAACACTCTGTATCCGCGGCGTGTATTCCCGATTCAACTAAAGTTAAGACTTGTTTGCGTGAAATTATATTTATATCAATATTTTCAGCCATCTAAAATCCACAGACCAGATGACAGTCAGAAGGGGCATTGCTTAATGTTCTATTCTGAAAATTAAAATATTGACAGGAAGTGCAAAATTACACAAGCTAACTGTGTCCATAGTAGACAAGATTTATTCTATGAACAAACCAATGCTCATAAGTCAAAAAAGGCAATGTCCCTTTAAGTTTCTTGAAATGGTAATTCTCTGCCTCATCGTTTCATCTAAGATCGTTTCATATAACTATGATTAGGCATTTCGAGCAGACAACAATTTCTTAGATATATGGAAAGGCAGACTAGGACACATATATCAATTTTGTTTGTTCTTTCTATACTATATTATTTTATATATATATATATTTAAAGTTTTGAATCATCTGGCAGATTATCAAAAGACATCATGACTCACCCTTTTCGAGCTTTAATTCATACACTACCTTGATTTTGTGAGATGGAATCAAATATCGTTTCTCTCCACGGGAGTCAATAACAACGGAGAAAGTCCACTTATCTGATAAACAAAACGGTGGACTAAAAATTCACTGTTGATTTTAGAACTGGTTTAACTTGGATTTATATCTTCTAGTTGAGAAACCGAGGAGAACAAGACCTGTAAAGAGCCGCACAGATCAAATTCCGATCAAGAGATCATTATCCTCGGTGGCATGATGGCCAACACTGTGTTCCGAAATTTGTGACAGTTATAAATAGTAAATGAATACCTTAGAGTGTAAACAATACAAATTCGACAAAAGTACCAGCTTTCAAATTGGACAATATTAAAGGTATAACATATAGCAACTTACCGTGAAACTTAACCCCCGAAGATCAGACTGAAGTTTTATTTGAATGGTCTGCCAAAAAAAGGACCATGTACGTAGAAGACCCCTTAACACTTAACGAGAAACGAATAACTATAAAGAGAATTTCTTATCTCCATTTTTTAACAAACTGTTCATCATTATAAAAAAACTGCTTTCTACTTTTGCTTGGGATGCTTCCCAGAAATGGTCTATGGCTGGCTAATGTCACAAGGAAAATACCCATCGACCCTACTTTACATTTCCAACGCCAAGTGACTGGCTAGGTGGAATTGACAAACATTCCTGTTTACGGCTACATTCCAACTACCTATACAGAGCATATTCTAAGTTTTATAAATCTTAATACAGATAGGATTTGCTTAGATCTCTCCAGGACGATGAAGTGATCAACTAGCTGGACCCCTTTGAAGGTCATGATCAGCCTCCTTTCAAAACATCATCCCTTCAGTCTCGTGGAACTGCCATTTTTTTAAAGACCTTTTTATTTTGGGTCGGTTTGCCAAATGATGAAGAACATGGTGTAAGTTTAAAATGCACATAAACGAACATTTTTTCGTATTATTTCAGCCTTAGAATAATGAACCCTGCTATAAAGCCCAGGGAACAGCCAAAAGTTGCACGCATAGAATAAACTGTTGATCATACATATTGCTTAGTCATTTTCATGTACGGCCCTTCATGAAAGAATAATGTGACAATCGGAACTGACAATGCATTTTCTCGTTCTGAATATTACTTATTGCTTCAAAAGGACAAAAGCAAGAGTGGCTATTACAGCAAACAGGATATTTACATAAGGTAGTATGACAGACGTCAGTAAGCTCCCCAAAGCTTCAAGGGAATGTCACAGAA